GCAGGGGGCGGGGGTGGGGTCCCAGCCGCGGGCCACCAGAAGGGAGCTGAAAGCCTCACGACCTGTGGGTTTGTCCCAGGGTGGACCCTGCAAGGGCTCGGAATGTGCGTGCTATGTGTGTGTGTTGGGAGTGTGTTGGGGTCTGGACCACCGAGTTTTCTAGTCGTCCTTAGCCCCCCGGCTCACACGATGTGGAGAGAGGGCCAAGGTCAAAAAGTCCGCTGTCAGACTGCACACGCGGGAGGCGCCCCCAGCCTGTGCAGAGCCAGTTCTCTCAACAGCCTTCCCTCTGGAAGCGGACAGTCTAGACTTGTGTAAGCATCAGGGCCATTATTAGATAAAACCCTTCAGGCATGGTTTGTTCAGGGAGCCAGGCCAGGGCCAAGGATGCAGGTGGAACTCTGCCTTCCTGCACTCCAACCCTGGCGATAAGAGAATGTTGTCTCTCAGGCCAGGAACGAAAGGGATGATGAGGTGGGAACGATTAGAAAGGTTTTGTGCGGTTGTGGGCTAGAAGAGCAAGTGGAAGGAAGGAGAAAAAATATCCCCATTTTTCTTGCAGGGCACCCTGTATTTTTATTTTATAGCACTCATCACATTTTGTCATGATATATTCAGTTTACTGCTACGAGAGGCAGTAGAGCTAGAATGTGGTTGTCTAAAGAGTGAATTCTGATGTCAGACTGCCTGCTTGGATTTCTGGGCAACTCACTGACCAGCTGTGTGATGTTGGGCGAGTCACTTAATCTTTCTGTGCTTCAATAGTTTATCTGAAAACTGAGAAGAATAATAGTATCTACCTCACAGGGTTGTGAGTATTAAATGGGCGAAATCACTTAAAGCACTTTGAATAGCTCCAGGCACCTGATTAGAACAGAGGTAGCTATTATTATTTGTTTAATATTTGCCTTCCCACTAAGTTGTAGGCTCCAGTGCAGGGCCTCTGCCTCCTCTGTTCACCATTGTATACTTAGCCCCAGTCCCTCAGTAAACATTTGTGGAATGAAGGGACTACTTGGGGCCCCCGCAGGGGGAGTTACCATCCCTTCCTCTGTAGCCACTGTCAGAGGACAGTAGAACTGAGGCACACAACTGTCTCCGTGGAGGAGAAACAAGCTGGGCGGGTTCCCAACCTTCCCTGTCCAGGCAGCTGTACCCCAAGTCAGGGGCCAGCCCCAACTGGGCAGGACAGGGTTGGGCCAACTGCTGCAGCTCAGTCTGGATTACAGCAGGACACCCACTGGGAGTCAGGCCTCCATTGTCAGCAGGCTGGCTCACCGAGAAGGCAGCTGAGAGGCGTCCCAGCCTCCCAGGCTGCCTCCCTGAGGGGGTGGGTGGAGCAAAGCTCCCAAGGAAGGCTCCCTTACTTTCCTCACCCAACAGCCCTGGGAGCTGGGGAAAACCAGACTGCCCGGTGGGGGCGATTAAGGGAATGGGAGAAGAAAAGCTTTAAGAGATTGCCTGGGAGGAGGGCAGCAAGGACCAGAGGAAAGGGCTGAGGTGACAGAACACCATGCCCCACCCCTCCCCAGGGCAACAGGAAGTAGGCGCTGGGGAGTAAGGCCACTTCCTATCTCAAAGCACTGGGGTGAGAGCCCCGTTCTGAGTCCCAGCGTGGGGCAAGGCAATGAGATTATACGTGGGGATGACAGTGAGTCCCGAGTTCCTGTCATCCACCTTAAAGGCAGAAGTGATGGCTAGTCTGCACTCCAGAAATAGGGGCTGCATATTAATCATCAACGTGCCCTTCCCGAGCCCTCAGGACAACTTGGTTCCCGACCTCCTCATGCCGAAGCTTGATATTCATTAATGTAAGGTGGCTTGAAGAAGATGGAAGGAGATCAGAACAAGCTAGGGCTGCTGTGAAGTCCCCAGGAGGGGTATCCCAGGAAAAAATGTAAAATCAGGACTACAGCTCCCAGGTACCCACTGCGAGAGGGGCTATCTTCCCCACTGAGGGTGAGCGTTCTATGCTGGGTTTTGGAGGGTACCCATATAAAGCACTTTGCACGGAGTCTCTGGGTAAAAGGAAGAGTGATGAGAAAAATAGTGGGGGGAAGCCTGGGGGATGACTCACACTGCTGGGTAAGTGGGACTAACTGCCTTTCAACAAATGTTTATCGCCTCCCTACTATGTGCTGGGCACTGCCTCTCATTTTGAGAAAGGTCCAAATAAAGTGGAAAATTAGACATCACAATGAAAACAAAACTCAAATCAATCTCTCCTTTTTCCTTTCTTTCTTTTTTTTTTTTTAAGATTTTATTTATTTATTTGACAGAGAGAGACACAGCGAGAGAGGGAACACAAGCAGGGGGAGTGGGCGAGAGAGAAGCAGGCTTCCTGCCCAGCAGGGAGCCCGATGTGGGACTCGATCCCAGGACCCTGGGATCATGACCTGAGCCGAAGGCAGACGCTTAACCAACTGAGCCACCCAGGCACCCCATCCTTTTTCCTTTCTATGTCTACCTCGCTTCTCCCTCTCTCACTACTTCTGTCAACAGGTCAGACTCTGACGTGGCCAGAGTGGCAATTTGGAGCCTATAGACACCTTTGTGTGCACACACAAATACACACCCTCGTACACACCCTCCTTTACACTCTAAAACTGCATTCCAAAATTAGGGAGGGAAGCTTCTCGCATTCAGGGGGGCAAGTCCCATGGTGTAATTTTTGGAGACTTCGAAGAGAAAGATCGGAAGAATGACAGAGGGTCCCACCCAGTGGAGCACCTCTGGTGATTACTGGGGCATCGATTTCCTGTGTAATCCCCTGCTCCCCGTGCTGTGGGCAGGGCCTGAGTGCTGGTGCTGCCCAGGGGACTGGCTGCAACCGGAACAGTGCAGCTTGAGGACCCCAGGAAGTTGCCATAGATACTGATGCGCAGGGAGCTGGTGAACTCGTTATTATTTATATGTATCTTCCCTCTAATTGCTGTGGGGCAGCTGGAGGTTGTGTGGGTGCTACAGCAGTGGGGATCAGGAGGGTCTTAAAAAAAAAAAAAGAGTGAGAAAGACAAATGAAAACACTTAAGTTTCTTTCTGAAGTTTTATTTGTTTAAGTAATTGCTACACCCATTGTGAAGCTCGAACTCATGACCCTGAGATCAAGAGTCGCATGCTCTTCCAACGGAGCCAGGCAGACACATTTAAATGAAAACATTTAAATAAACAATTTCTAAACTAGGGGGTCTGGTGAGGGGTGCCCCTCTCTCCCCTGGAAAACACATCAGATCACAACCATGCACGGAATAGTTGATATGCCCATCCTCAGTAACTACTCCCAACAGTCATTGTCCTTAGCGGGAGTGTTTTCCCATCCCTGCCGTGTCTAAGAGCTGAAAAAAGGATTAGGAACCACAGATTTAACCAGTATTTCTTAAAAGAGGAGCTGAGGAATTTAAAGTGAGGGATTGAGCTCTGAAGGATTGGGCATTGGGGATGAGATTTTGGAGTGAGAGGCTGAGGACATTCAGGGCGAGGGCTGAAAACTTTGGTGTGAAGAGCTGAAGTGTTTGGAACAGGGTCTGAGGTGCTGGGGATGAGCTGAGTTCAGAATTTCAGATGAGTTGTGGGAGTAGATAATGTGAGGAGCTGTGGTATTTGGAGGGAGGGGCTGAGGGACTGGCGGGGAGAAACTCTTCCATTTTCTAGCTAGAGGTCTGATTCCAAAGGGCAGTCTGATTTCCGCCTTCCCACCCCCGAGTCCAGTCTCTCTGCCTCTCCACCCCTCCACCATCCTCCTAGAGAGACTGCACTCCTTGAAGACAGAGGGTACCTGATCTTTCTCCT